CCTTCCGGTTAAGGGAGTTCTGGATGCTCGAGGTTGAGATCCAAGAGCGAGACACACGAATTCCAACACTTTCGACGAGCGACAAAGTCGAAGTAAAAAAAATGCAGAAGCTCTTTGGACAACAAAAGCCAGAGTTTATAATCAAGATCTCGAAAGAACAAATCAGAGCATTGAGCCAATAATCTGAATCCATAGGTTGAACAAGTGAGGGTTTCTGGGGGGCCTTCAGTCTTCTCGATCAACAACCCTTGTTCTCAAGTAATTATTGGAAGTAATTTGAGGCCTCACTAAATGATCTTAGGCAGCTGAAAGATTAGGATGTAGTTTCATGCACATCAAGAGTGTGGATAATACACTAATTTTACAAAATCTACACTCTACCAGCATAAACAATTTTTTCTTTATATTTATTTTCACATAGCTTATGAGCACTCCTCTAGGGTTCAAAATGTATTAATAATTAACCATGTGTTATGTTTAGCCTCCCAAGTTTGTCCTTGTTGTATTAGGATTTTATTACTATCTATAAATAACTTGTTTTGGCTCCACAATACAATGCAGGAGAGGGAGAGCATCGGCAGGGAGAGTCCACTCGACGGATTCATGCAAATACTAGAATTTATTTGTATGTGAGGTTCTAAATTAATTAAAAAAATATAAAATTATTGAAATTCTTCTACAGTTAACTATGCCAAAATTTTACCAGTATGGTATGTGCAATTTCCCATATATGGTACTTTTAGCTCTGTGGTCTGTTATATGGTTGAATATTTGAACGCATCAATAAAAGTGAAAAATAAAGAAGATAATGAATGATAGCTTGATCTTGCCTTTTCCAGACCTTCCACTACCCTTCTCCCTCTAAGTATATCACTAACCAAAATTTCATGGTAAGTCTAGTGCAAACCGATGATTCAAGTGTAACATAAAACTGGCAAGTCAAATAAAGTGCAACGTATAATACGTGTCGGAATATTATTTCACACAAACAGGGAGTAATCACCCAAACATAACCATCAGCCATATTTTTGCCGAAACAATTTTCTTGACAGGTACACTACAAAATCACTTTAGGCTGATTTTTACTACCTTGTAAGTGTTACTCCACAGTTTTTTCACGAGGAATCGTTTATATACAAAAGAGTTTAAAAGTGAGACACCCGACATAGCAAACAATCAGCAAGGTATCCTAGTCCAGCAAAACAGGAAAACAAAATTTACACACAAGATTCATCCAAAACATGTATTGTAAAGTCAATTGATGAGCCATATACTTTGAATGCAAAGATCGAAGCAAACATCGGAATTTCTTGGCCCAGTATGCAATAATAAACTGATTTTGTGATTATAAAATATACTTTCAAAGCCAGCCATACCAGCATATGAGATTGGCAAACATACTAATAATGTAGGTAGATATCAAGGAGCCTTCATATACAAATGACATTCAAAAACAAACCTAAGGATAAAAAAACTTCTTAATGTTAAGGTACTATCCAATTGGAAAATAACCAGAATTCCTACACATAGTAACAAAGCCTGGAAACTAGCAAATATATCCAATGGATCCATCACATAATAAGCCAAATAAACTATATATATCGATAAAATCAGAAAGCAACAACCCGAAGCAACCTGCGTGCACATCCTCAATGGCCCCGGGACTTCATGACCTTCAGAAAAAGCTTTGCCTTTTCAGTCTTGATCTCAAAAAGCCTCGCATACACCTCCATCTCTTCAATCTCGATCTTCTTCCATGCTTCATCCAGTTCCCGCCGCTCTTCGACTGGAACATTGTCGCCTAACTCATACCTCCTATCAATATTGTTGGCGTCCGCCCCACTGCCATTGCCTTTTTCGACACCGTTTTCTTTCACAGCCCCCCACACTTTCTCCGACAGATCGTAGGCTTCCTGCTCATGCTGGCTCGTAAAGATTCTTCCTTCACCTTTGCTCTTGTTGTTTGTGTACTTTTTTTTCGTCTTAGAAATCTTATCCCTCAGCTGAGACATCGTCACGTCAAATTGCAAATCTTTCTTGATGAACTCGTAAAAGGCGTGCATATCATCATGCGGGTCGGATTTCTTCTCGGCCCTAAACTGCATAATCCCGTTCAGGAGGGCAATTTCGTCCGCCTCGCTCCATACCCTCTGAAAAAATTGTTTCTTCTCGGATCCCTTCTTCGACTTCTTGCTGAAAGTGGACTCCGCCCCCTTAACCTCCTCGACGGCCCTCTTTTTGGTAGATCTGGCCGGTGAAGCGGAGGCGGCGGTGGCCTTGTCCTTGCTTTTCGATTGGGATTTTCTTCTGGCGTCGGATTCGGATTCGGATTCGGATTCAGATCCAGAATCCTCGTCGGGTGGGGCGGGCTTTGTGGCGGAAGGGGTTCGGGGTTTCCTGGCGTTGGCCGGCGGTGCGGAAGACTCGGTCTCAGATTCGATTTCCTCAGACGAGGAATCGACGTTTTCCTCATCGCCAGAAGTGGTTTCAGAGGAGACGGGCTTCTCGGGCTCACGGGATTTCGACATTTTCCGGTGAGAAAGTTAGAAGGGTTTTTTCTTTGGAGGGGAAAGAAGGATTTTAGGGTAGGAAGTGAAAAGGGTGTGCGGCGGCGAGGGTACGGAGGGCTGCAGTCAATAGTTAAATAGTAAGCCCTTGGAAGAAAAAATAGGATTTTAGGCATGAGTTTTTTTTGTCACATAAATTAGAATAAAGGTAGATTATGCATGTTACCACACAATAGCAACCAAGATTTGGGGCATAATTGATGAATATCTGAATACAGCGATTTTAACGTTTTTTCATCAAATAAATTAGAATAAAGGCAGATCATGCATGCTACCACACAGTAGCAACCAAGATTTGGGGCATAATTGATGAATATATGAACACGTCGATTTTGACGATTTTCTCTTGAGCTTGGAATTAAGACATGTATCAAATTACCACAATTACTTATGCAGTCAATCTTCCTTTTCATATATGATGTCAAATTTTATAAAGCTAGAATATAGTGTGTAATATGCACATGACCTCACTACTAGAAAAGAGATCCATATGTAACTCGATTACTAGTGTAACACGTTTCCTAGTATAACACGCCTTTGAGAACTTTTATTTTTTAGCGATATACACTTAACATTCAAGTAGGAGCTAAAAACTCCAAGTGTTCAGATATTCATTAATTATGCCATAAATTTTGGTTGCTACTGCGTGGTAGCATGCATGATATGCCTTTATTCTAATTTATTTGACGAAAAAACATCAAAATCGTCGTGTTCAGATATTTATTAATTATACCCCAAATCTTGGTTGCTACTGTGTGATAGCATGCATTATCTGCCTTTATTCTAATTTATTTGACAAAAAAACTCATGTCTATTAAGCAATTTGTCAATGCCTAGACTAATTTATTTGAAAAAAAAAAACTTGTGTCTATTGAGAATATTAGATTTCTAGTTCTATCTTGTCAAAGCCTAGTTCTAATTTTAGTCCATTTGTTCTTTTGAAATATGCAGTGCATTTAGATTTTAGAGGATAATCTTAGGGCTCGGTTGTTATTTTGGGATGGAATATATGACTAAATAAATTTATAGTGGGTGGATTGTAATGTTTGATTATATTAGACAAATATTTGTTATATGATTGGTATGTTGGATAAAATGTTTTTTTGTTACATATAGATTTGTTTGGTATTTTATTATAAATTCATTTTAATCAATGAAACAATATAAGTTTAATAATTATACTTATTAATCACATAGATTTTTAAATGTATGAAAAAATTTTACAAAAATAAGTTTTGTATGGAATCACATTGTAGTCAACGAATTTTTGAATAAAAATTTTAAAATGATACTTATTTAGAAATGAGTATAATATTATTTATTATAAGTTACGTGCACTGTACGAGTTGCTACTAATTTTAAATACACATGTTTTATGTAATTTTAGACAATTTTAGTTTCAAATAACTTTTTTTATATATTAATATAAGTAAATTGTATTGCATATTAATTCCTTATTTTTAATTTATGAATATTATTTAATGAATATTTTTAAATTATAAATATAAATATTTCTTACCCGTGCATATTCGTATTAGTTGAGTTATGCGTGATTGTCATTGTTTTCTCATTTCATTTCCCGTAACGTGTCTTACTCCAAGTGTCCAAATTAATTTCTAAGCTAGTAAATAGCACTATTAAATCCTCTCTTGAGCTAGTAAGACATGTTACGGGAATGAAAGTTCTTGCCTCAATCTTTTTTTTTTTTTTCTTATAATACATTTTACTAACTAAATTGTAAATATATTATAAAAATGGACTTTTATATTTATTGACAAATTTTATATATAATATTTCAAATCAATCATCTCTTCATTAGCTTCGATTTGATATCTATATTGTATCATAAAGTAAATAAATAATTATATTTATATTTATTCAGAAAAAATAAATCATCCTTAAATTTAATTGAAAAAAATAAAATTATTTATCTAATAGAGGAATTTAAGTAGTATATGTGATAATGTCATTTAGATATAAATAATAATCATATTTTTTTAATAATAAAAAAAAAAGCATGTGAAATTTAAAACATACTTTTTTGTTACTTTTAAAATTTATGTATACATTTTTTAACAAACACTCTTTTAACATACGAGTATTGTTATTACTTTTTAATTTTAAGTATAATTTTTTTAACAAACACCCGTGTAATACATGGTATTGTATTAGACTTCAAATAATACTCAATCTATAAAATCTATGAAACACTGAAGTCATGGATATGATACGGACGCCAGACACAAGGAAATTCTATATATTTTAAAAGTGGAACACAAATGTATTTGTCATAAATTACTTTAAAATGTGAACACAACTGTATTTCTTTAGGTGTAAAAATATATTAAATGAATCGAACCGAGATCAAACGATCCAACTCGAGCTCATAGTTTTTGTTTGTTTATTAAACGAATTGAATCATGACAACTCTTCATTGAATGTGCATGAGTTTAAACATGAAGTACTGAACTAAAATAATCTACCTTGACACGTGTATATTCCACTTTTATAATTCTCCAATATTTTGAGCTTAAA